CCTAGAAGCTGGGTTCTATGAAGAAAAACGTGGCATCAGGATTGGAGGAGGACTCATTAACAACCTGTGATATGCAGATGATACAACCTTGCTTACTGAAAGTGAAGAGGACTTAAAACATTTACTGATGAAGATCATAGAGCACAGCCTTCGGTATGGATTGCATCTCAACATAAAGAAAACAAAAATCCTCACCACTGGACCAATAAACAACATTCTTATCAGTGGAGAAAAGATTGAAGCTGTCAAGGACTTCATTCTTCTTGGATCAACTGTCAACACTCAAGGAAGCAACAGTCAAGAAATCAAATGACTATTGCATTAGGCAAATCTGCTGCACAAGACCTTTTGAAAGTGTTGAAGAGCAAAGATGTCAGCTTGAGGTCTAAGGTGTGCACCTGACCCAAGCCATGGTATTTCCAATGACTTCATATGGATGTGAAAGCTGGACAGTAAATATGGAAGATCGTAGAAGAATTGATACTTTTGAGTTATGGTGTTGGAGGAGAATACTGAAAGTGCCATGGGCTGTCAAAAGAACCAACAGATCGGTGTTGGAAGAAGTACAGCCAGAGTGCTCCATGGAGGCCAGGATGGCCAAACTTCATCTCTCATACTTCAGACATATTGTCAGGAGGGACCAGTCACTAGAGAAGGATATCATGTTTGGTAAGGAGGAGGGTCAGAGAAAGAGGAAGACCCCCAATGAGATGGATTGGCAAAGTGGCAGCATCAGTGGGCTCAGCGTGGCAACAATTATGAGGTTGGCCCAGGATTGATCAGTGTTTCGTTCTGTTGTGATAGGGTCGCTATGAGTCAGTACCAACTCGATGGCACCTAACAATAACAACAACAACAACAACAACAATGGGTATAGATGCTGGAGAAGCTCCATATCAGCTACCAAAACAAGATCAATGGCTGACTTTGGACCAGACCTTCAATTGCTCATATGCAAGTTCAGAGTGAAGCTGACAAAAATTAGTAAAGCCAGTACACAAGAGACAAAATAAGACTTGGAGAATAGTCCATCTGAATTTAGAGACCATTTCAAGAACAGATTTGATGCATTAGACACTACTGACTGAAGACCAGTAAAGTTTGTGGGATGACATTAGGAACATCATACAGGAAGAAAGCAAAAGGGCATTAAACAGACAGGAAAGACTGCAATCTGCTGGAAAAGAAATGAAGTCTATGATTAGTGGAATGTAAAGCTGATGTTCTGCTCTGTAAGTCTCCACTCAGTTCACATGAAAAGTTTTTTTTTTTAAAAAAGGAAAAATGAATTAAAAAGATAAGGAAGAGAGAAAGAAAGAAGGAAAGGACCAAAACAGACATCAGAAGAGAGACTCTGAAACTTGTCTCTGAGCACAGAGAAGTGAAAGTGACTAGAAGAAAAGAGGAAGTAAAAGAGCCGACTAAAAAAAAACCTGAGGAGATCAGCATGATAATTAAGTGTGCAAAACTGGGGTCCGAAAACCAAAAGGGAAGAATAGGTTCAGCAATTCTCAAGCTGAAACTACTGAAGAAAAATGTCAAGTCTTGGGTTGCAATACTGAAGGATTCTATGGGTAAAACATTGAATGTCTCAGGAAGTATCACAAGAATATGGAAGGAATACAGTCACTATACCAAAAATAATTGATTTATGTTCAGTAAGTACCATACAATCAAGAACCGATGGAATAGAAGGAAGAAGTCCAAGCTGCACTAAATGCATTGCTGAAAAAACTCCAGGAATTGAGGGAATACAAATGGAAAACTTTCAAACAAACTAATGTAGCACTGGAGGTCTGGGCATCCGCTCATCTAAGCCAAGAAATGTGGAAGACAGCCACCTGGCCAACCGATTGAATGAGATCCATATTTGTGCTCATTTGAAAGAAACGTGGCCCAATGGAATGTGGAAATCATCTAGCTATATCATTAATACCACATGCAAGTAAAATCATGCCGAAGATAATTCAGTATTTTTTCTGAAAATAATTATGCTGGAGATAATTTAATAATTGCAGCAGTACATCAACAGAGAGGTGCTAGAAATTCAAGCCCAATTCAGACAAGAACATGCAATAATACATATCATTGCTGATGTCAGATGGATGAATCTTGGCTAAATGCAGAGAATACCAAAATTAGGTTTACTTGTGCTTTATTGACTAGCAGAGGTATTCGACTGCATGGATCATAGCAAACTATGTGTAATATTGCAATGAACAGGAGTTCCAGAACACATAATTTATGTTCATAAAGAATCTTGTACATAGAACAAAAATAAGGGAGGTGGTAAACTGAATGGCTGAAATCAGGAAAGGTGTGCTCCAGAGTTGTATATTTTCATCATACTTATTCAGTCTGTGTGCTGAACAAATAATCTGAAAAGCTGGGCATATGAAGAAGAAAGTAGCATCAGGATTGAAGGAAGGCTCATTAACATCCTGTGATGTGCCGATGACACAATCTTACTTGCTGGAAGCTAAGAGGACTTGAATGAAATACCTGCTGATGAAGATCAAAGACTACAGCCTTCAGTATGGATTGCATCTCAATGTAAGAAAACAAAAAGCCTCACCACTGGACCAATAAATAACTTCATGATAAACAGAGAAAAGATTAAAATTGTCGAGGACTTCATTTTACTTGGATCCACAATCAGCTCTTATGGAAGCTGTCATTGTTGAGTGTCAACTCAATCTGGACTCCCAGCAACCCTGTATGGGGTTTCTGAGGAGTGACTGATGGGTTTGAACGACCACCTTAAGGTTCAAACCGACCTTGCAGTCCAGTACTTATCCTATAGCATCACACCAAGACTTCTCTCATAGAAGCGGCAGTCAACAACAACAACAACAACAACACCACAATACCTAAGATACTAATCTTCATACATTTCATTCTTGACAACTTCTAATTTTCCGAGATTCCTGCTTCTTACACATTACATGTTCTGATGAACAATGGATGTTTGTAGCTGTTTCTTTTCATTTCAGTTGTACCACATCAGAACACGAAGGTCCTGAAAGCTTAACTCCATCCATGTCATTAAGGTCAGTTCTACCTTGAGGAGGCAGCTCTTCCTCAGGCACATTTTGAGTGCCGAATGCCTTCTCACCTGAGAGGCTCATCTTCTGCCACGAGACTAGAAGGGTCAGATTAAGTCATTCCCACACCATACTGTGTGGCGTCTACATTTCAACAGTTCTATTTTTCAAGAGAATTCCTTGGGCATTTAAAACTTCGTTAGTTTTGTGGCGATTGTACTTTATTATGGAGTCCTGGTGTGGCACTGCTGGTTAATGTGCTAGACTGTAAGGTCGGTGTGAACCACAACGTCAGTAGTTCAAGCTCACCAGCCGCTGTAGACTGGGTTGATGTGAGTTGGAACCAACTCGGTGGCACTTAAGAACAACAACAGATGAAGTGTACTTTGTGTTCTGTTTCTGGAAGCTCCCGTATGTAGTCTTTGGGGGCCTGATTGTGTTGTGTCTTGCTCATGTGACTTGTTTTCTTAGGTGTGTGGTTTTTACCTGGGCTCCAATTTCTTAGACGTCTGTCTGTGGGAAGTTATTTGGGGCTTTGGTTGAAGGTGCTTCTTTAAGAGAGTATTTGGTTTGCCTCTTCCAGAGGCCAAGAGGCCTCCTAGCTAGGCCCTCGTTGTTGTTGTGTGCTATGGAGTCGGTTCCAACCCATAGCGACGCTGTACAGGGTTTCCAAGGCTGTAAATCTTTACTGGAGCAGAAAGTCTCATCTTTCTCCCACGGAGCGGCTGGTAGTTTCCCACGGAGCGGCTGGTAGTTTCCCACGGAGCGGCTGGTAGTTTCGAACTGCTGACCTTGTGGCTCGCAGCCCGATTCGTAACCACTACGCTACCAGAGCTCCAGAGCTCCTTGGATCCTCTTTACTCTTCATACTTTCTGCTGGGGATCTTTGTGCCCAGGAGGCAGGATGGATCCTGGCTGCAGACCTGCATGGAGCTGGTGGGTGGAGATTTCTCCTTCCTCTGTCACGTTCCTTGCCGAGGGATCCTTGGTGGGGGTTGTTTTAGGTCACTGACCATCTATCCTGACCATCTATCAGGTGGGCTCTCCTTTTAGTGAGCGGGCTCTGTGTCAGGCTCCCCACATTTAGCAGATCCTGGGGAGGCCAGAGGGTGGAGGCTTGCAAGACCACATCAGAGGAGGAGGCACTAGCTCCAGGCTCCGCGGGTCTGCCTTGGCAGATTTGTGAGCCTTGTCCTTATGAAGCTCTCTGATATACTGGACAGCCATTCTTCGATTCCATCTGCTATTTGAGCGGCTCTCTCAGCCCCCTCTTCTGCTGCCATCCGCGGGCAGCCCCCTCCCTGGCCCCTTCCCCCTCCATGGGCCCTTTCAGCTTCTGGGTTCTCTCTTTGTGACCTGCGCACACCCTGTCCTGGGGCCGTGCACACTTCATGCCTGTCTGCCCCTGAATGTCCACCTCCGAGGCTCACTACCTCCCCACAACTCTTGGCACTTCAGAGGGGAGGCCCTCTCTTCACCCCCAGCCTGCCCCTTCCTGTACCACATCCGGCTTGCCAGGCCTTCACCTGAGCAGGTTCTGACATCAGTGGGGGTCTTTATGGGGAGCCTGAGGCAGGAGTCTCCTATTCTATATCCACAAGCCCCTTGTCTCTGCCCCACTACTGGTAGGGTGGGTGAGGTCACTGGGGGACCTGGGGAGGGAAATCCTGGTGGTGGGGGCTCTCCAAGTGATTTTAGGGGCAGAAGTGGGGGCTCTGAAATCTGGGAGCAGCTGTTTCTGGAGATACCGTGCGCCGTCTCAACGGCACTAGGGACTTCCTGGCTGGGGAGGGCTTGGGGGGCTTTGGAAGGAATCACAGGGCCAGAGGGGCCTTGGAAAAGGATCTTGGTGACTGGAGAGAGTTTTGGGGAAGGAGGGGCAGGGTGGATGGAGGTGGGGTGGGCTTGGGGTCTTGGGTCCACCCACTTGCCAATCCATCTGCTGTGTCTTCACAGGGGACGGCAACCTACACCTGAACGTGACATCGGAGGCCTTCAGCCCTGGGCTCCTGGGGGCGCTGGAGCCGTATGTGTACGAGTGGACAGCGGGACAGCGTGGCAGCGTAAGCGCCGAACATGGCCTAGGCTTCCGCAAGAGGGACGTCCTGGGTTACAGCAAGCCACCCTCTGCCATACAGCTCATGCGGGGGCTCAAGGCCCTGCTGGACCCCAAAGGCATCTTGAACCCCTACAAGATGCTGCCCTCCCAGGCCTGAGGGCCTGGAGGGGGGCCCACCGGTTTACACGGGGGTTGGTGGCTCCTTCCTGTGGGAGCACGCTCAGCGTCGCCCTGTGCCGCTCCATCAGTGCGCTTTGGTGGCTCCTGGACCAGAGGCGCGTGCGCGGGCCTCCTCCCCCATGGAACCGGCATTGACCAGCTGGGCTAGGCGGAGCACAAGAGCACTCTGGGAGGTGGGTGGGGGGAGAGGGGCGCCCTCAGCACACTGTTGCGTGTACAGGGAAGCCTGTGGATCCCTCTCTCCTGTTCCTTTGGGAAGCCAGATCTCCTCTGGGCATGTCTTGGGCAGGGTGCCCACTCGGGAGAAGGCAAAATCCGGGCTCCTCCCAACTTGTCTCTTGAGCCACGATCCCATTTGTAGCGCCCCCTTCCCCCCATCACTCCTGAGATCTGCCCTGTTTAGAGCACGGGTTTCGGTGGGGGCGTCTGGTTCCTCAGGGCTTCCGACCTACATTGGTGGTGCTGCTAAGATGGTGACCTTGGTCTTCCCTTGCTAACTCTGGTTTACCAAAATGCCTAGGCGGCCAGTACCTGAGTGTGTTGGGGATCCATCAGGCTGATTCTGGGATGTCTGCCCTTGAAAGCACCCCCACTTGTGAGGTTTGTGTTGCAGCAGCCACAGGAAACCAATCAAGTGGCCAGGTGGTGGCCATGAGCACCGAGGCGTTGCCTGGCGAGCGTTGTCTCGCAGTCCCAGCTGTGTGACTCAGGCAGGGCTATTTTTCAGAGAATTAAAGTATTGCCTGAGACAAAAGGCTCACTCTGTGTGTGTCTGGGGGTGGGGAGCTTAAAGCAAGCAGATGGCGAGGCACGCCCGCAACCCTGATGGGTGCCACACCTGCCCCCAGCTGAGGCTGGAAGCTCCCACGGCCATCTGTGCAGGTTGGCACCATCTTGTCACATGTTCAGTGTTCCCCTTGGGTCCCAGCTCTGGATCCCTGCAGAATGCGCCTGTCCCCTTACCCATGGGGCAGCAGTGCTGGCCGGGACAGGAGGCTGGGCTCTGTGAGCAGGGCTGGCTGTGAGAGGTCATGTGTGGCAAAGATGGTGTCTGGGGACTGGGATTGGGAAGAGAGTACTTGACCATTTTGAATGGTCTGAACAAACCTACTGATAAGGCAGTTCAGGGAGTCCACTGGGAGCCCAGTTACTGCTAGGCTGGGCAAGATGGCCACCCTCACTTGACCCAGGGACCTTCTGATTCCCGGGCCATCTCCTGTCACTCAGGATGGCTGTAGTTACCAGGCAAAGCCTGCCCTGAGGAAGAAGATACTCTGTCCCACCTCTACCCCTGGATCCTTTGGTCCCCAGAAGTCCCCTGTGTGGCCAGTGTCCAGGAGCCTGAGCCGACCATGGATGGGGTGGGTATCTTGGTGTCATGACCCTGGGAAATTGTGGTCCAGCTTGATTTAAGGAATTGGTACAGGCCAAACAGAGGGGTGGGTCAGTGTTCCTGTGATGCCGTCCCCACCGCCCGACGGAGAATAACATGTTTAAAACAAGTCTTCCCTGTGGGTTCCTCCTTTCCTGAGGCTCTGGGGGTCTCCATGGCTGAGATGACCCCTCTGCTGGCCCAGGCTTCTTGTCTAGCCGACCTAGAACCAGTTCCTTGCTGCCGTTGGCTCTGGCTCTGTCCTGCCCCGCCATGGGGCCTCCTGCAAGGGGGCAGAGGGCACCTCAAACCATGCAGCCAGTTCCAGACAGCTGGGTCCAGTCAAGCCTACCTGCAGTCCAACAGGATCAAGAACAAAGGCCTCCTGGAGCCGGGCTAGGGGAGGGCCAGCTATTGTGTGTGGATTAGGAAGGCTCCCCACCATTACACTAATTCTGTAATGTGAGCTGGCCTTGCATAAGGGACTGGGGGAAGGAGCCTGCCCCCGTGGGGCAGTGGCTAAGAGCTGGGCTGCTCTCTGAAAGATCTGCTTCCATACAGACCCACAGCCTTGGAAACCATATGGCACGGTCACTGTGAGCCAGAATCAAGTTGGGAGTCATGGGCTTTGGGGGCCTGGGAGGGTGGGGCAGTATGGAGAGAATGGGTGGGTGGGGTGGGCATGGGACTCAGATTTCAGTTCCAAGGAGCAGGTTGTTCCAGGAGAAAGGATGGGTGGGGGACAACAGGGCCCCAAGGAGAAACCCTAATGGAGAGGGGAGACTCATGTACATGTGAGGATAGGTGTACATGGAAGCATGTCTGTGTGTGTTTCTTTATTCATGGGTGCCTGTGTGTATGTACATGTGTATCGGTGTATCTCTAGGTGTGGGAATGTGTACATGTCTTGTGTGAATGTGTGAACATGTGCATGTGTGTGTTTGTGCCCACATGCATGTCTATCTCTGGATGTGTCCATGTTCACATGTGTCTCTGTGTAGCACATGCATGTATATCTAGGAGTGTATGTGTGCCTGTGTTAACATAGATCCCTGTGCTCCTGATGTGTGTGCAGATACATGCATGTATATCTGTGAGTGTATGCATGTTTGTGTTCACGTGTCTGTGCCCCTGATTTGCAGGTGCATGTATGTGGATATGTGAATGGATGTGTGTCCAGGTCTGTGCACCCACAATGTGCACGCAGGTACGTGTATGTGTATCTGTGAATCTATGTGTGTTCATGATGTATGTGCAGGTACAAAATATGTGTATCTGAGTGTATGTGTGCCCATGTTTATGTGTGTCTGGGCCTGATATGTGTGTGCAGATGTTTGTACAGTGTATATGTCTGTGTATCCCTGTGTGTGTTGTTGTTGTTAAGTACAGCTGGGTTGTTTCCGACTCAAAGCGACCTTGCACAGGGTTTCCAAGCAGTAGCTGGTGAGTTTGAACTGCTGATCCTGTGGTTCAAACTGACCTTGAGGTCCAGTGCTTTACCCACAGCGCTACAACGGGAGTCCGTGATGTTAGGTGCCGTCAGTCAGTTCTGATTCACAGCAACCCTGTGCACGACAGAAGGAAACCCTGCCTGATTCTGCTTCATCCTCACGACCGTGGTCGTGTTTGGTTCCATTGCTGCTGCCACGGTGCCAATCCATCTCCTAGGGTGGCTTTCTCCTCGTCAGACCCTCCAGGGACTGGTCCCTTCTGACCATATATCCCAAAGTACGAGAGACAAAGTCTGGCCATCCAGACTTCTGAGGAGTATTCTGGCTGTATTTTCAAGACAGATTTGTTTGTTTTTCTGGCAGTCCATGGCACTTTTGGAGTCCTGGTGTGGTGCTGTGGATTAATGCGCTGGACTGCAAAGTCACTTTGAACCACAGATTGGCACTTCAAGCTCACCAGCTCTTCAGAAACCCTATACAGGGTCACTGTGGGTTGGAACAGACTCGATGGCACTTAACAACAACAACATGGTACTTTTAATATTTTTCTCCAACTCCATAACTCAAATACACCAATTCGATGGTCTTCCTTATTAATTGTCTTACTTTCACATGCATATGAGGTTGTTGAAAATACCATGGCTTGGGTCAGACCCATCTTAATCCTCAAACTGACATCTTTGCTCTTGACACTTTGAAGTGTTCTTGTGCAACACTACTGCAGTACATCATTTGATTTCTGACTGCTGCTTCCATGAGTGTTGATTGTGGATCCAAGGAAAACAAAGTCTTTGCCAACTTCAGTCTTTTCTCCATTTATCAGGATGCTATTTACTGGTCCAGTGGGGAGGATGTTTGTTTTCTTTATATTGCGGTGCAACCCATACCAAAGACTTTAGTCTTTATCTTCATCAGTAAGTATTTTAAGTCCTCTTCGCTTCAGCAAACAAAGTTGTACTATCTGCATATTGCAGGTTGTTAATGAGTCTTCCTCCAATCCTAATGCTGTGTTCTTCATCTAATCCAGTTTTAAAAATTATTTTCTCTCATACATATTAAATAAGTATGATGAGAGAATATAACCTTGGCATACATCTTTTCTGGCTTTAAACCATTCACTGTCCCCTTGTTCTGTTCCAACGATGGCCTCTTGGTATATGGACAGGTTTCTCATGAGCACAATTAAATGTTCTGGAATACGCATTCTTTACAACATTAGCCATAGCTTGTCAAAAGCCTTTGCATAGTAAGTAAAGCACAGGTGAAGGAATATCTTTCTGGTGGTCTCTGCTTTCAGCCAAGATCCATCAGACATCAGTAGTGATATCCCTCATCCCATGCAGTCATCTAAATCTGGATGGAACCTTGGGAAGTTCCCTGTCAATCTTCTGTTGTCGCTGTTTTCACACTGTCTTTGTCTAAACTTTACTTAATATGCTATTAATGATATTGTCTGCCGAGTTCTGCATTCTGTTGGGTCACCTCGATTTGGAGTGGACACAGGTATGGGTCTCTTCTAATCGGTTGGCCAGGTAGCTGTCTCCCACATTTCTTGGCACAGATGAGTGAGTGCCTCCAGTGTTAACTTCAGTTTGTTGAAAGATTTAAAATTTGTATTCCATCCATTACTGCAGCCTTGTTCTTTACCAGAGCCTTCAGTGCACCTTGGACTTCTTCCTCCAAGATCACTGGCTCTTAATCATATGCTACATCTTTCATTTTTTCATATTCTACCTCTTAAAATGGTTGAACATC